GACGTCATAAACACCAAACTAATTGCTGGTGTTGATCGCGTCTAATATCGACGTCATAAACACCAAACTTTGACGTCGGATATCGACGTCATAAACACCAAACTAGATGGTGTTGATGACGTCGAATATGGAGGTCATAAACACCAAACTTGATGGTGTTTATGACGTTGAATATCGACGTCATAAACACCAAACTAATTGCTGGTGTTGATCGCGTCTAATATCGACATCATAAATACTAAACATGAAGGTGTTTATGACGTCGAATATCGACGTCATAAATACCAAACTTGATGGTGTTTATGACATCGAATATCGACGTCATAAACACCAAACATGATGGTGAGATTAGGGTCTGTGATGACATTTTCACCAACTTTGAGCTCGCTAATATAATTGTATTTATTTTGTTTTCCTAGCAGGGAATTTATTGTAGACCAGCATTTTTTTAAATCCTTAGTTTCAGCACATTCAGATACTTTGTTGATATAGAAAGTAGATTTTGTCTCACGTATTAGTTTATCAACTTTATTACGCAAACTCTTATAATTATGCCAATGTGAATCAGATTTCAATTTTATGGCCTTTTTCTTATGGTAGTCTCTTCTTCTCATAGCTGACCTTATTTCCGCTGTCATCCACGGAGTGGTGTGTTTCCCTGATCTTATATGTCTAACAGGAGCATGTTTATCTAGTGTTCCGATAAATAGTTCCTTCCACTTATTCCAACTCAAGTTTGGATCACTTGTTGTGAAAACAGTTTGCCACGGAATATTGGTTAGGTCGGATATAAATTCTGTTTCAGAAAAGTGTTTAAAATTACGAACTTTTTTAATAGTCGGCCTTCGTTTAAGTGGTTTGAATTTGTGAACTGCATATATTAGGCTATGATCTGATATACCAACGTGAAAGACGCCAGCATGAGAATTTTTTTCAGGAACATTTGTCAGAATAAGGTCAATTATAGTAGCAGATGTTCTCGCAACCCTGGTTGGTTCTTCTATTAACTGAGCCATGTTATATAATGAATTTATAGATTGAAATCTACTTGTATGCGCTTCTGGTGGGGATTTAGCAACATCACAGTTTGTATCTCCTAATAGGATTAGTTCTTTGTTTTCAGCATCACAATTAAGAAGAAAAATATCGTATGCATCAAATACATCCGTACTTGAATTAGGTGGTCTATACTGTTGTATTTTAGAATAATTTATTATAATTTATATCTAATTATTTACAATGTTCCTAATGTATTATATAAGTAAATGTACTTCATGTAACATAATGTAAAAGCAATAATACCACATCTCCTTTCCTTTCATATATAAAATTATCAAAACTTAATATTGTTCACTATATATCAATCAGTTAGTTAACAGTAAGAACACAACGTCAACAATAAGTAATATAATAGTCCTTTCACAAGTTCAGTTTTTAGGACATCTCTTTCTTAAATTATATAGATCGCGTAGTCCCACATGCCTTCCTCCCAATGGATTAGTCGTTGGGGGTTGGGTTCTGTTCGTCATTCGCTTGAGATGTATTGTTACCAGCAGGGTGAGGTGCAGGTCTTAGATATCTTCGATTACGGGTGAGTGTGGATCCTTGGTCGGTTAATACAATGTAGGTGCGATTTGGTTTAATTTCAGTAATTTTTCCAAGTAGTGACCAATCGGAATCGACGCGGGAACGAATAGCTACACGGGTACCAGTCTGGAGAGGAGGTAATGGGGTAGTATGTTGATCATAGGTATCTTTCTGTTTCTTCCTGAGATCAAGGATTTTCGCTTTCGTCTCATTATCTAACGTTGGTGGACCAGGATAACGAGGGAGGGAATCGTGGAGTGTTCTGCCAAGCAGCAATTCTGCAGGACTCTTACCACATAAGAGAGGAGTATTTCGAATTGCCAGCAGACCTTTCCAAAATTGGTCATTCATAGAGCCACACTTTTTTAGGAGCTTCTTGACATTCTTTACCGCGGCTTCGGCTTTGCCATTTGACTGAGCGTGAGTAGGAGAAGATACAGTGTGTATAAAATTCCAACTTTCAACAAACGTTGCAAAGGCTTTGCAAGTAAACTGTGAACCACCATCTGATACGACTTCAACAGGTTGACCAAATCGAGAGAACAATTGTGTGAGTTCTTTGATCAACGCTGGTGCTGTTGCGTCTTTACCAAGATCATAAACTTCAGTAAAGGAGGAGAAATAGTCTGTGACAATAAGGTATTCTCGGTCATTAAAACTATAAAGGTCAACGCCTAGTTTGTCCCAAGGTCGTGTGGGTAAAGGTGGTTGCTGCAGAGGTTCTTTGGAATTGACAGGAAGAAGAGTTCGACATTCAGACGTGGTAGGATTTGAAACTGGATGGTCCACTTCGGTCGGTTTGTTGTCACATATCTGAGGGTTGTTTTGTGATGCGTCGAGGGTATTCACTGATGAGGGATGGTTAAGGTTCTGAAGTAATGTAGAAATGGGCCAGTCATCATCAATAACACCGAGTGCATGACAGGCAGGAGAACCAAGGATAATACCATCTTCACCATGAACGATATAGAACCACTGATCAACAGAAATGGTGGGATTTTCTGGAGGCCACGAAATCTTTAGGAAAACTCGAGCTTCGACACCCAGGTTATGACCTCCAGCGGTCTTGATGGAACCACATTCAAGATTGTATGACCACTCAGGGGTGTCAAAACGGGTAATCCAATCATAACCGACACAGTTAATGTTGGAGCCAGGATCAATCATGCATTTTTGCTTCCAGTTGTGGTTACCAAGTATAAAATCAGTGTAGTAGTGCTTACCAACACTAGGAATGGTGATGGCTTTGACAGAGACATCAGAAGTAACGGGTAGTTCTTGATCAGCTGAAATGACTTTAAGAGTTGGTTTAGTGGCGGAACCAAGCTTAGAAGATTCATCAGTAACTTTCTTGTCAGGATCAACAGGGTCACCTGTTGGTTTAGAGGACTTGGGGCACATGACAGATTTAGCCCAGTGACCTTTGTTTTGACAATCCCTACAAACAGAGTCCTTTGCAGGGCAAAATTCCTTCTTGAAAACATGATACTTCATGCAAAATTTGCATTTTCGCAAATTTTCATCCCTTGTAGGTGGAGACGGGCCCCCTTTCCCAGTGTTATAGGGAAATTTCTTTTGTCTATATGTAGAGGCTCCAGTCTTGTTAACTTTAGTTAAAAACTTATCAGCTTGGGATGAGGTAGCTTCATCTACTTGGATATATTGTACAGCTTTGTCAAGAGTAAGGTCTTGAATACAGAGAAGTCCCTTTCTTATATCATGAGACTTTATACCGGCCACGAGACGTGCCAAGAGAATTCGGTTCTTAGACGACATTCGTGTTGAGCTCTGGCAACAGTCCTTGTATTGACATTTATTTAATAGTGTTTGTAGATCATTGTAAAACTCGTCAAACGATTCATTCGAGCCTTGTACTCGTTTGTGGAATTCATATTCATGCACAAATATATTTGAACTGCCACATACCTGGCGTTTAAAAGATTCAATAAGAGTTTGAACATCTTGTTGTCCTAAGTTGTTCATTCGTTTGATAGTATCATCACTAAGTACATTAATAAAGAGAGCTTTTTGAGTTTCATTTGAGAGTTCATAAAACCGAGTAATCGTCATAACAGAGTCCCATCGTTGTTTCCATATCTCAAATCCTTCAGGAGAACAACTGCTAATGTCAAGCTTAGTAAGTTTTCCGATTTCCGCCGAGATAAATGGTAGATTTACACTTGTTCCAGAGGCGCCATCGCCAGATTGTTGAGAAGACTTTTTCGGTGGCATTTAGATAAAATTACGGCCGAGAAACTCGAATAGTCGAAATTCCCCTGCTTCCTTTAATCCATAGAAAACACAAGAAACATATAACTTTCACTGTGAAAGCAGGATTGATCAGGATTGATCAAGATATTTTCGAGAGACTGTCGACTACGCCATGTTGTATTTTAGAATAATTTATTATAATTTATATCTAATTATTTACAATGTTCCTAATATATTATATAAGTAAAAGTACTTCATGTAACATAATGTAAAAGCAATAATACCACAGCTTACAACGGCATAAAACTAGTATTCTTTTTACATGTGCATCCAAAGCTAGATTGAATTAACTTAATGACATAAATAACCATTAATTATAAGAGTATGCACCAGCATACTTGATGAACCACTTAGCCTTGATGAGTATAACCTGCGATCAGGCCTATAAATAAATAAATAAATAGGCCTGATACAAATCTTAACAAAAGTCCATGTTTTTACAACCGTATTTCGGTTGTAAATCTGATTGGTTTATGAGACAAAAAGAATTTTTTATCTGTCATTTGATTGGTTGGTGCTAATTAGATTATACTATTGTCGTTGATATATTTAGTGATCACAACTATAATTAGATTATAATAGGTTTTGTTTGTGGAAACACCACGTAAATTTATTACTGCAAATTATTATACAAAGAACTTATAATTAGATTGTTGTCGTTGTGTGAAATTTAAATTTTTCCTGCGACATTTTGATTGGATACTAAATATAAACTTTGCTGTGGGTGGAAAGCGATCGGATTAAGGATTGTGTCAGGCTATTATTTGTAAAATACAGGGTGTATAAAAAAAAGGAGACCTTTAGAAATCAAGCATATTGTTAAAATATGAATGCCTTTTCAATTGCACATATGCTGAACCGTAGTGCGTGAAATATTGATGGGGTGCATATATTAGAAAAGGAGACTTTAATGATGAGTAAAATGGTCTGGTATTAGACAGAGTACAATAATCTGGCATTTCAAAGACAGTAAAATAAGGAAGTAGGACACACAAGGGTACAATACAATTTACAGTAACGGGTTCACTAGACACATGGCCATATTAACCCAGGAATACTTCTCAAGAAGTTTGGCAGGTCGTTAAGATGGGGTGACTAGGCCGGACATGGCATAAGCTGCATTATGCCACAACTTTATTGTTTTACTCTGTTGTTCCAGAAAAGATCCACTCTCCCCTGGGCACAGAGGAAATTTCTACCGTCCGAAGGGTAGGGGAGAAAAAATTTTCTGATAATAGTAAGTGTATTAGGACATTCGAATTTCGAAGGGGATAGGGGGTTAACTTGCAAATTTCCTTCATGGGGGAGGTATCGATGTTCTCTGGAATGACCCAATGTCAGATGATTTTACTTGTCAGTGATATCACTCATGGTTTACTGAAACAAGTAGGCCACTCCTCTCCAATATAACTAAGGTGAAATCATAATCTTATGAATCTATGAATGTTTTCTGGAATGAGCTAATAGCATATTAAATACCAACAACCGGTAGCAGATACCTCTCAAAATATTGGGGGTGCTGTTGAGATGACTGTTAACAAATCCTATCTGCATATTTCTCTAGTTAACCCATTCACTGCCAATATGCTCTACTTTATATTACTCTGTCTAATGCCAGCAAATTTTACAGTTTTACTTGTTGAGAAGATAGCCTTGCAGCACTTTCCAATTTGCCATGTATCGCCCACACAGAGAATACATTACTGGGGACGAGTCAGGGTAAAAGCCATATGAACCAAGGGTTACCAATCATGATAATACTAGAACTAACTTCAACCAAGGGTTGGGTTATGCTACTACAGTAGGTCCTCCCGTTTGTAATAAGGTGCAAAGTTTATTGGTTGGACAGGAGGGAATTGCTCATATTGCTGCATACGAACTGTGAAGTGCTATATACTGTAATGTTAACTGACTGTGGAGTTCCAGTACATGAAATATGTAGAGCTAATGATAGTCTTGTATTTCCTTTCTTATAGCTCATGTGACTAATCGTTTTGCGGGAGCAACAGCTTTATCAGTGAAAGCTGTCATCGCCCAAAAGTGCAAAGACAAAAGAAATGCTGATACGAAAAGAAGAAAAATTGCAGAAGACATTTGAACTGCTAAGTTTTTTCCTTATTATAAAGTATTTTGTAGAAATTAACTGTATAAATAAATTATTTAAACTTCCTATATATTTATATATATATATTTATATATATATATATATATATATATATATATATATATATATATATATATATATATATATATATATATATATATATATTTTAAAAACTCATTAATAATTCAGGAGCAAAACACAAAGAAAAATCATAAGCGTGTCGTGGTTATATACAGGGTGTATCAAAAAAAGCGCAACCTCGGAATTTCCCAAGAAATCGACATTGTTTTAAAGACAAAAGATTTTAGGCGCCTGGGAATTTAAAATAGCATAACTGTCAAAATTACTGCACACGCGAGCGCATAAAGCAAAATTTATGCATTTATTTAATGCACAACAACAGTAATATGATCTATTAGCAATTCGCTTTCAATTCCCAGGGGCCTAAAATCTTTTATGCTTAAGAATTGCAATTAGTGATTTCTTAGGAAATTCCGAGGTTGCGTTTTTATTGATACACCCCGTATGTGATATAAAATCATGTTAATTTACATAAACTTTAGCTTTGATTTTCTCGGTTTAGACAAAGTTTATTTTAGAAATTACTTCGCCAATCAGCTCGTATAAGCTGAGTCGTTTTTTAAGCCATTTAAAGCACTTGTAGTCGTGTTTTATCACATATAAAACACTCCGCTACGCGTCGTGTTTTGTATGTGATAAAACACTCCTACGTGTGCTTTAAATAGTACATATATATATATATATATATATATATATATATATATATATATATATATATATATATATATATATATATATATATATATATATATATATATATATATATATATATATATATATATATATATACATGAACTTGCAGTTACAACTCAACAGCTGGCCTCTGTAGCTCAGTTGGTTAGAGCGCTGCACCAGAATCGCAGGGCCGTGGGTTCAATTCCTACCAGAGGACGTTGTGCTGTATTTTTCGCAGTCGTTCCTGCACTGCAAAAAATCAATTTCTTGTTTTAAGAAAATATTACTTATTTTAAGCACAAAATTACTTGTTTTAAGAAAATTTTACTTGTCCCGTGGGTAAGTAAAATATTCTAGGTAAGAATCAGATTTCAAGAAAATTTTTCTTAAAATAAGAAAATTAATCTTGGTTAGAACAAAATTCTTGGTAAGAAAATTTTTCTAATTTTGTCCCGTGGGTAAGTAAAATTTTCTTATCAAGAATATTTTTCTTATTTCAAGAAAACGTTCTAGCAAAATTTTCTTATTTCTGGAAAAAAATTCTTAGTTTCCCAAAAATTATTTTCTAGTAATAAGAAAATTTTGCTAGAACGTTTTCTTGAAATAAGAAAAATAATCTTAATAAGAAAATTTTACTTACCCATGGGACAAAATTAGAAAAATTATCTTGAATTGAAATCCTGCTAAGAAAATTATTCTAGTTCGATCCGGTGTGCATGGCTTTTAAGAATATTTTTCTTAAATGACAATATGAAACTAGAATAATAATCTTGGCATGATTTTTGCTGTTGTCATCCTACAATATAAAAACAATTAAGAATGTTTAAAATAATATATTTACCAGCTATACATGAATAGGTTATTAAAGTAATTACTGATAGATAAATGTAAAAGTTCTCACACGTAGCAATATTGTTCAATTTCTTGAAAAGCCTTTACCATGTCAGACTGCTGAGTCTGGATGGGTAGTCTAAGTCGAGCAGTTACAGTAGAACAACGCCAGGAAGTAAAGATGGCTTTTACAGTTTCGCTATTCTCGAATGTTGCCAATAGCTCCATGTCATGATCAGCCCTGATACAGTATGTCATTGGGTCTCATTTGCAGCCAGGTAGTCAAGTCTGTGTCTCCTTCCTTTTGAGGGGGAAAAAAAAACACAAAAATAGTTTTGGTAACAACTACACAACCCTCATTAATTAACAGCTTATGTTTTCACTAACAAGCTATCCCCTGGGGTTACAGACAGAGCGAAATACTATGATGGATGGAACAAGAGACACTGGCAGATAGTTTTTGTTAGCCCATATTAACTTTATCTCAACTATAGGAAAGCTCAAACCTAAGAAGATGTATATGTACAATGTACACTAAATTTGATTCAGGCCTTACTAAATGAATTTTATAAAATGAAACTATAA